CAGCCAACACGTTGTGGTGCAGAAGTTCCTAAACCCCTTCAGCCACGACGGGCAAGCAGCAACAGTCAGCAGGGGCGAAGAAGTTCACAGTGCTCTCTCTGACCACTACTACAGTCTCCTTTGAGAACTTGTGAGCCACAGTAATGTCTTCGACTCATGCTAGGAATATGGCACAGCCTCCGCTCAGGTGTGGCACAGCCACTCAACTAGTCACTGATCGAGATATGCTGCCTACCTGCCCGGAGAAATTGCTTCTGCGGCATGCCTGTACCAAGCTACAGCTGCACTATCGCTTACTATCGGCTTCCTTTGCAATCTGAGGTCCCAGCTGCCACTACACGGCACCAGCAGCCCTTGCTCGCGTGCCCTTTGCTGTTGTTGCTTTGTCTCCAGTCGTTCTGCGCAGCCCTGAGCTTCGTGCTTGGCCATGTGACTCCGCAAAGCTGTGCATGCATACCGCAGCTGTCAGACAAAACTGCCGATACAGTAGGCAACAAGCAGAAGCATAGCAGACTTGCTCTCTTGACATGCCCTGCAGCAGGTAGGACATTCTGAAACAAACTGCGACTCAGCGAAGAGCACAGCTCACCTTTTGGCCGCGTGTCACAGACTCTGGCCCGACAGCTCAAGCTGTGACCATGGACGCCCCTCCCAGCTTGGGACCTTTTCTGGTGCTCAGCGATAGCACCTTGCAGCACATGCTTCGGGGACATACGTACGGAGTGTTCCCCTTGCTGACGGGACAGGTCTTAAGCTGTCCAGGCGCCGCCCTCAATATTTCTGCCAGCAGCGTCCCCTCCATCATGGAGCTCCTCCACTGGCAATTTGGCCTCTTTGGGCCGCTCCAATTCAAGGCGGCGGTCCAGAGCCAGCCGGTGGCCTCCATTTTGGAGAGTCACCTTGACGGGCAAATCAATGTTCGCTTTATTCCGCTGTCAAGAAGCTTGCGCCCGGAAAAGCAAGTCAACTATGATTACCTGATAGACGGCAGGGTCCAGTATGGCTTTGCGGTCAAAAACCTGCCAAATCAGGAAATCATGGATTTGGCACAGATACCTGGAGTAGGAGGGGCAGAATGGCTCTACAACTCCAAAAATCTCCACTTCCGCCCTGAAGTTGCAGACATTGTCATCCCGGCACTTGTCACAAGAGCCATCGAGGAAATGCGCAACACACCAGGATTGCCTGTCCTCGTGGTTGCCGGCTGGAATGCTCGCCAGCAGGACATGCATGTGGAAATGCTGGCAGCCCAGGCTTTGTCACAATGCCGCACTGTCCGAGATCTCTCGGAAGTGGCCATGCAGTACGGACAGGGACGCTGGGGAATGCGCTTCATGCATCTCCCAGAGTGGGAGGCAGCCCCTGTCCCGGCACTCCTCTTCCAGACCTATGTCCACGACGACAAGCCGGAGCCCGCCCAAGTTGCGGCCAAAATGTTTGCAGGCTTCACCCGCAAATTCTGCGACGATAGGGTTCTTCGAGCTACCCTGAGGCAACTTGCCGGAAAGTACGGCTCCAATCTGCTGGACCGCCTCAGTCAACCTGCTCATCGAGCAGATGTATTCCGCTACGTTTACCACTACCAGCACGGAGGCCTCTATGTGGATATTAAATGTGGCTTTGTGGTACCCTGGGAACAGGTACTGCAGCTCATGGCAGCAGATTGGAGCACAGCTCACGCAACGAGGGCAGGTGAAGTGGGTCACAGACCCTCCCCACCTGGCCAACTCCCAAAGGAGTTCATGGTCATGGCCATTGGAGTCAAAGGAGATCACATCTTTCAAGGCATCATCTATGGCAAGCCCAGGCACCCTCTGATGAGGGAGGCCATACAGCACGCCTTCAGCCGTCAGGTTATGACTGCGAAGGCGAACCTGGACTATATGATCTTCTGCAAATTTCTCTGGCAGACCTTGAGTCGGGACCTTGGACATCCCCCTCAAGCAGGCTGGAATGTTTCCGCCAAGTTTGGCCCCATCTATTTGTTCCTGGAGCGCTGGGACAAGCGCGTGAAGAACAAAAAGTACGACAACGACGGCCACTACTTCGTGACAGCCAACAACACTACAGTCGCCTACACCAGGTGCTGGAAGTGGTTGAAGGGATTTCAGGGGGACCCCACCACCAAGGAGCGAACCGATCGCATGCTGCAGAGCCAGCTTCCCGACATCTCTCTGGAAATCCAGTCCGATGGTCGAACCGAAGAGCACAGCTCACCTCAGCCACTTAGGTCACAGACCACGGCAACTGCCACTTCAGCTCCTCCTCCTCCTACGCAGGAGGACATCGAAACCTACGTGGCTGACAGCATCCAGAACAACTCCTTTGCGGCGCTCATGGCCACCGTCCGCGAGACCCATCATTATAACCAAGATCTTACGGAGCAGGATGTGCTGGAGCTCATTCCTCGCGGTTTGGGACAAATGGAAGTTTCAGGCTCCATGTGGCTGTGCTGCCTACACTGTCGGCGACAGGTACAGTTCAGTACAGGCCACGGCCTCAAAAACCACTTTGTCACGCAGAAGCATGTCCCTGTGTCACAACCTGCGGCGCCAAGCGACATGATGGCTACCCCAGCGCCACATCCTCCCCCTCCTCCAAAGCTTCCGCAGGAGATTCCTCTCCCACCCAGTAGCACCCGGACTAAAGGGTCAGATAAAGGGGCAGGATTTGAGCCGCCGCCTTCTCCCCCCTGCGCTTTCACTTCCACCGCAGCCGAGAAGGCGGCTTTCAGGGCAAGCCAGGTGGAGGCACCCAAGGCGGCGCAGCGCTCCCGGCTAAGGCCCCACCGTCCACGGTGCCCCAGCCTCCGGCAGGTTCCTCTTCGGCTGCACCGCTCCCTCACCGCCTATCCCTGCTTCCCCAGTCCCTCCGCATCCCCCCAAGTCTGCCTCTCCCCATGCCCCTGCTACCCAAGCCGCTCAGCGCTCCCTCACGCCCCCCCCTCCTTCCTCCCGGCCCCCGTCAGCATTTGAGCCCCCGGAGACATGCAGAACCAGTTGGTTATGTTCCACAGCCGGCTCCACCAAAGACAGTACGATACACGAGGCAGGAGCTGGCTCAACTGCTGAGTTCCCAGTCCCACCAGGACTGGATTCGGGCATTGGCTTCCATCAATATCCTGGTGGCTCCAGTTATTCTCGGAGGCCTCACCAACCACGAGCAGCAGACCCTCTGGTCTACCAGGATGGAGGCACTTCGCGAGGTACCTCCGCTGTTTTCGGCCATCAAGTCGGTAAAGACACAGTCAGGCCTCACATGGGACATCGCCATGTCTGTGCGGCGGGTCCTCACCAGCGATGGGAAGGTGACCATAGCCACAGGTTCGGGAGGAGCCTACCGCGAGTTGGATGCTCCCACAAAGGTGCATGGTCTTATCCATGCCTGCTTCAACAAGATGTGGGACGAGAAGGAATTCCGGCAGCACTTCCCAACGTGGGTAGAGTTCAACATGATCGCCACTACCATCGTGGCGGTCTACAATGAAACTGCAAAATCAGCAGGACTCCCAGCTCGCGTCTTCAGGGTCAAACCCAACAAAGATGCCTACTCCATCATGAAGATGCGGATTCAGCATGACAAGGGGCACGAGGAAGACAAGCGCATGGCCAAACTGGCTGCTGCCGCTGCGCCTAACAAGCGCCCACAGATGCAAGAGGCTGACACAGAGGGCAAGCGTCCGCGCGACGCCCCTTCCTCTTCATCCTCGACCCAGTGGGCCAGACAGGCACGCTCCTCCCAGGAGGATGACTGGGATTGGTGGCAGCAGTGGTCCTGGCACGGTTACTACCACTCCTCCCAGCAGTGGCCAAAAGGTCAAGACCAGTGAGGGTAGAGATATGTCACAGACTTTCTGATCCCTTATGTCACAGACTCTGGGAATTAGGAACTCTTCCGACGCTCAGCAAATCTCTTCGGAAGCCTGTGAGCCGCGAGCTAGTCTTGCTTACAAACAGCACGCCGCTGCATCTGTGAGCTGCCCACGTCAAAGTTGCCAACTGTCTGACTCCATCGGCGATGCATGCAGGTACATGCGGGCACGTGCACATGACCCTTACGGCCTTCTGTCTTCAGCATGAGTAATCCGTGTGGGACGCCACGAGACGGATACTCCAGGTGTCGGCTTCGTCTGAGGTACGGCCTAATTGTTGAGACAGGTGCACAGATGGACGCGTCTGTACACACCAAGGTGTCGGAGGAGGAAGCTTTTGTAGTTGTAGTTTTTCAGAAGGAGCGATGCATGCTAACAGCAGTTTCACGAGTGCACGAGACCAAAGGCGCCCGCAAAGCGCAGAGCACGCTCGCGCAGCGTTCAATTGAAAAATAGTAGTAGTAGTAGTAGTAGTAGTAGTAGTAGTAGTAGTAGTAGTAGTAGTAGTAGTAGTAGTAGTAGTAGTAGTAGTAGTAGTCGTAGTATAGTAGTAGTAGTAGTAGTAGTAGTAGTAGTAGTAGTAGTAGTAGTAGTAGTAGTAGTAGTAGTAGTAGTAGTAGTAGTAGTAGTAGTAGTAGTAGTAGTAGTAGTAGTAGTAGTAGTGATAGTAGTAGTAGTAGTAGTAGTAGTAGTAGTAGTAGTAGCAGTAGCAGCAAGACCATTAGTAGTAGTGGTAGTAGTCGTAGTAGAGTAGTAGTAAGACACTACTAATAGCAAGAGTAATGGCAATAGCAATAACACAGTAACTGTAATAGCTATAGGTCGTATCGTAATATTTTTTCTAACGGTAACGTCAAAGCAAAAGCACTAGAAATAGCCATAGTGATAGCAAGAGTGATAGCAAGAGCAAGAGTACGAGCAGTGGTGTGATAGCAAGAGTGATAGCAAGAGCAAGAGTACGAACAGTAGTGTGATAGTAAGAGCAACTGTACGAGCAGTAGTGTGATAGCAAGAGTGATTGATAATGATGGTAACACTGATCATAACACAATGAAACCACTACTAATATTCATCATAGCACACGGAACAATAATAAAAGCAACCAACCTCCAACAAAACAACGTTGCTCCTCGAGCAGGTCCGCAAACTCCTCCGGTCGGTAAAACTCCCTCAGGAAGATCACCTTGCGCATGAGGCCGGCCGGACGCTAAGGTGAACTTCTTGCAGGGTTTCGAAGAAGGGCCTAAGGCGTATATAGACCTAGGAAGCAAGTCAGGTCAAGAGCACCCGAACTGCGGTTTTGAGTAGCCGTAAGTTTGACTATCTCATGCATAGCCCTCGTCACTAAGTCCCATGATCCTTAGCTTCTGATCACCCTTTCTGGCCCTTCCTTCGTTCCTGTTTTCGGGGTTTGGGGTACTGTAAGAAGTCCTATGCGGGTTCTAGGGTTTTGGTGCTTTTACAAGAACTTGTGAGGAACAATATTACATAATCATGCCTAATCAGACTTTCATGACCGCAGGGCACTATTCTAAACATGAAGTCTTCAAAAGTACTGCATCCTGCTTGCTCACAAGGGCTTTCCTCCTCCTCGATGCTCCTTCTTCCTCTCAGGGTTCTTCTGCAGGCTCCTCTACTTGAAGGCTCATGGGACTTAGGTTATAATTAGGATAACCCCACTTAGGGGACTTATAACCCCAATTATAACCTACTTACTAAGTCCCATGATCCTCTAAGTACAGGCTCCGTAAGGCCTCCGGAGAGGCTTCTTTGTCGGATTCCTGTAGGGGTTATTATAGTATCCTTAAGGGAGGGGGGTCCAAGGGGGGTATATAGCCTAGTGATCCCTAATTCTCCCTAGTACTCCCTAAGGTTCCCTTACAGTCCCCTAAGGATTCCTTATACCCTCCCCCCTTGAACCACCCTCCCTTAAGGATCCTATAAGGTTCCTTTGAAAAGCCGACTCCTGAAAGGCACCCTTTGCAGGAGCCCCTAAAAACTTGGAAACCTTCAAGGAGCCCTTACCGGAGCCCTACTGCAGCACTGCAGGAGCCCTGAATTAGGGGCCCAAAAAACCCACATAAGCAAAAATTAGGATAGGGATATCCCATATAAACCCCCCTATGAAGAACCCCAATAAGGTAGGGATATCCCCACAAAATGCTTATGCTTATGTGCTTTTTGGGTCCCTAATTAAGGGCTGGGCGTCTTTTGCTGCAGGAAGGGTCCGAAAGAGAATCCACGGGTCAGATCTGAGAAGCTCGCGGCACCGATGGCCATGATGAACCTTTGGGAGAATGGGTGCAGGGTTTAGGGTTTAGGGTTTGGGATTTAGGGTTTAGGGTTTAGGATCTAGGATTTAGGGTTAAAGGTTTAGGGTTTAGGATTTAGGGCTAAGGGTTTAGGGTTTACGGTTTAGGGCTGAATGGGTCTGGATTTAGGGCGTGGGGTGACTGACTCCGAGTGTGATATTGCCATAAGTAGCGCTTTATGAGGGATGCCATAAAAGAGTTGCTATAGGGTTTAATGGGGCGGGGATCCCACTCTCCCAAGGAACCCAGAGACTCCAAAACTACGATAGGAACTCTCACGAGACGAGGTGATATAGGGCCTTAATAATTAGAAGAGGGTTTTGGGGCCCGGTATACTCGAAGTATAACAAGAAGGAAACCCCAAACTAGCGTTGGTAAATACTTAAGCCCTTACACACTAAACCACCATAATACCCCTTATAGTAACCCTTATAGACCCCTTTCAAAAGGAACCCTTTAAAGGAACCCATATTATAGTCATTAAGGCCCCTATACTAAACCCTAAACCCCTAAAGCCTGAACCCTAAACCCCGGAACCCTAAAGCCTAGGCCCCCCCTATCATATTCCTTAAGTAAGAGGTCTCAGAGGTCTCTGGGAATGGCTTCAGTCGACTTAGCCCCGGACTCGACGAAAGAGAGCTGCATGTGACGGCCTGAGGACACCTTTCAGGCCCCGGCCGCTTTAGGCTTTTAGGGTTTAGGGTTTAGGGATTTTAAAGTTTGGGTTTGGGGTTTAGGGTTTAGGGATTTTACAGTTTGGGTTTGGGGTTTAGGGTTTAGGGATTTTAAAGTTTGGGCTTGGGGTTTAGGGTTTAGGGTTTAGGAATTTTAAAGTTTGGGTTTAGGGTTTAGGGTTTAGGGATTGTACAGTTTGGGTTTGGGGTCTAGGTTTTAGGGTTTAGGGATTTTAAAGTTTGGGTTTGGGGTTTAGGGTTTAAGGATTTTAAAGTTTGGGTTTGGGGTTTAGGGCGTAAGGATTCACGATTAAGGTTATTAAAGCTTGGGTTTAGGGTTTAGGGATTAAGGGTTAAGGTTTTTAAAGTTTGGGCTTAGGGTTTAGGGTTTAGAGATTAAAGATTAAGGTTTTGAAGTTTGGATTTGGGATTTAGGGTTTTGGGGTTTTTGTGACTTCTAGGTTTGGGGGTGTTGAGGGGTACTTGGAGAATCAGGGTACTAAGTAAGGCTATAAGTACCTTTATTGGGCTCATATGTAACTATAAGTATAGTTGCCTTGTCCTCTCTGGCTGACTCGTTCAACTGTTTCAAACGCTTCATGTCGATAGGCTTTAGCATTTCCATGTTCTGTGGGCGTACTGTGCTGCTGTACATTCGTGTCGGGCATGTGTGGCACCTGCTCTTGTGCAACGGCACGGGGTTCCCTGCAGCTACAAGCTGCCCTGCACATGGGTGGTTGTCAGAATTATGGTCCTTTCTTGGTGGTACCTATTAAAACACGGCACCGATTGTCTAGGGTACCCAAAAAGGGACCATAATTTTGACAACCACTTAGAGGATTATGGGACTTAGTAAGTAGGTTATAATTGGGGTTATAAGTCCCGTAAGTGGGGTTATCCTAATTATAACCTACTTATAACCTTACTTACTAAGTCCCATGAGCCTTCAAGCACCCACATAACAACCACCTTGCGCTTGCCGGGCTCGAGACTGCGCACTGCGGGTGAAGGAAAAAGGTTGCCTTGTTCAGAGCCCTAGTTGCTGAGCCCCATGATTACTTTGGTAGGGATCAGGGCTTAGGGTTTAGGGTTTTGGGTTTAGGGATCAGGGTTTAGGGATTAGGGTTTAGGGTTTAGGAATCAGGGCTTAGGGTTTAGGGTTTAGGGTTTAGGGTTTAGGGTTTTCGGTTTTGGGTTCTGGGTTTGGGTTTATGGTTTTGGGTTTAGGGTTTACAGGCACCTCGTCGATCTGCCACATGCCGCCTAACTGGAAGGCGCGCGCTGCATGCCGCCTCAAGAAGCGCTCGTCGTAGGCATCGCCTGGCCGCCCACATGGGCTTTGGGGTTTAGGTTTAGGGGTTTAGGGGTTTAGGGGTTTAGGGGTTTAGGGGTTTAGGGGTTTAGGGGTTTAGGGGTTTAGGGGTTTAGGGGTTAGGGGTTTAGGGGGTTAGGGGTTTAGAGGTTTAGAGGTTTGGGGTTTGGGGGGGGAGGGATTCTTCACGGCTTCCTTTAAGGGCTCCTCTGAGGGATCTCGAAAGGCTTAGGGTTCAGGCTGGGAAGGCCCATGCGGAGCTCTTTAGGTCCTCCAGGCTACCCTTAGTAATACTTAAAGGATCATGAGACTTAGTAACTAGGGCTCCTTAAAGGGATGTGTAGGGTTCCTTAAAGGGATGTATGGGGTTCAGGGTTTAGGGTCTACTTAAAGGATCATGGGACTTAGTAACTAGGGTTATAAATAAGGTAACTATACGTATACATACTTACAACCCCAACTAGGGGACTTATAACCTTACTTACTAAGTCCCATGACCCTCCAAGTAGTAATAGGGGCACAGTTGAAGCATCGTGGGACTAAAGGGTTTCTATACGGGTCTCTATAAGGGATCTCTATGGGTTTTAGGGGCACTGAAAGTATCATGAGGCGTAGTCACAAATAAGGTATCTGGACATACAAACCGTGAACCCGATCACTACACTTACAGTTGCGCTTATGACCCCCATTATGGTACTTATAACCTTACTTACTAAGTCCCCTGATCCTCCAAGTAGACCCTAAACCCTAAACCCCATAGATCCCTTGAAGGAACCCAAACAATGAGCCCTTTGGGAACCAGCCCCCGACCCTCCCAGTAAACTGTATTTGTCATACGGGCATCCTAATGTCGCAAGGGCCTTTTCACCCGGAGAGCTCCTTGATCCTGTTTTAAAAGGATCCCTAAACCCTAAACCCCTAAACCCTAAACCCTAAACCCCTAAACCCTAAACCCTAAACCCTAAACCCTAAACCCCTAAACCCCTAAACCCTAAACCCTAAACCGAGACTTCCTTGGAAGGTTCCGGCCAGGATCACAGAAGAACCTTTCAGGGCTCCAGGGCATGTTATGTATGACTAGGGGTTTAGGGGTGTAGGGGTTAGGGGTTTAGGGGTTTAAGGGGTTAGGGGTTTAGAGGTTTAGAGGTTTGGGGTTTGGGGGGTTTGGGTATTATGTATGACAATATCTACTCTACCTACTAGACCTAAGAGTAGCCTAGGAATAAAAAGGGTGCCCTTTTTGGTTTAAGGGGGGTTATAAGGGAACCTGAACCCCCAAAAAGGGAACAAGGGCCTACTCTAGGTCCTAGTCTATGACGCTCTACTTTACTCTATTTGCATGATAAAGCACTATGCTATACTATACCATCCTAGACGGTAGTATACTATGGTGTAGTAGAGTAGAGTATAGCTGTACTGTATGATATCGTATCATAGTAGATTCTATGATACCATACCCTAAACCCTAGACCCTAAAACGTTTCTGCTCTTAAGCTCCTCCATGCCCTTTAGACAAGCTCTGAGCAAGCTGCAGTCATCCAGCATCTCGTAGAAGTCCGGCAGAGTGATCTTCCTGCAAGGGCATAGCGGGTTCAGGGGCTCTTGAGGGGTTTGGGGTTTAGGGGCTCAGGATGTAGGGGTTCTTGAGGGGGTTGGGGTTTCGGGTTCAGGGTTTAGGGGAATGGGTTAGGTTTGGGGGCGTGGAGGGCTACCCTTCACTGCCCAGATCGCTTGGGGCCACGGGTTTTGGGAAACTTGGCTTGGCCGTTGTGTCATGTGGGCTGGGGCAAAATAACAACTGCGTAAGTGATATTAGGAAGCAACATGGTTTTTTATACGAACATTAACATAGCACTCATAACCACGAAAACAATCATAATGATAACAACAACAGCAATAGCAACAAGAATGACAATAACAGCAATCACAATCACAATAATGAAAAAAAATCAGAATAGTAACATGAATGAAAACACCAATAAAGCTAGTAATGCTAATAATCGCAATAATGGCAATAATTATCCAAACTCTGGCCTCTTGGTTTTCGAGAGTTGGTCTTTGACATAGGGCATGGCGTCCGGCGTCTCCTCGCAGCGCGCACAGCACTCTCAAAACAGCAGCCAGTCAGGTTTCGCGTGTTGCATGTTGACGAAGACATGAACAGCAATCAGCAAAGCATTCTCTGCGCTCTGCAGGTTTCAGCAAAAGGTCCACAGAACCGGCGTAGATCATGAAGGCAGCATTCAACACACCTTGGGCAATCAAGGTCTACGAGCAAAAAGCGGCGCAAGTGTTCTGGCATGCACCCCAAGCCCCAAACCCTGCACCAGCTCAGACAAGCTGCTCAGGTTGCTCTTGAAGACGCAGTCCACCTCCTCCGTCATGATCTCCACCTGAAACTGCCTCAACATCTCAAGGACCCACTCGCTGCTACGCCTTGAACCCAAAGCCCTAAACCCTAGCAGTTACCGAGCTGCTGCTCTTGTTGATGGATTGGCGAAAACTCTTCGTCCAAATGCTCGGACAGCAGCATCGTCATGGCCTCGAAGGGCCAGTCTTATTGGAGACTGGAGTGATGTGTGACAACTTGCCAGAAGGGTTTTTGGCTCAGGATTTAGGGTGTGGTACATGTAGGAGTTTAGGATCGCGATTTGTGTGATCTCCAGGGGGCCTCAGGGGAGAAAGAGCAAAATCCCACTGACCTACTCCAAAGTCGTCTCCGGGGTGCCTTCTTTCTGTTGGAAGCATGGCCCTAGAACCATTTAGCATCTTTGCTAAAATGTCTTGTAGTAGGGGTCCTTTAACAATCATCATCCTACTACTACTACTACTACCACTACTACCACTACTACTACTACTACTACTACTACTACTACTACTACTACTACTTCTACTACTACTACTACTACTACTCCTGCTGCTGCTGCTACTGCTACTACTACGACTACTACTACCCTAAACTGCTGATCCCGGATCTCCGTCGCCTCCGGCAGGTCCGGTGCTTTGGCGGTGCGGAGGAACTTCGCCTCCGCCAATCGCATCAAGGTCTCCATGAATTGGTACCTTCAGAGATAAGGAGCCCTTAAAGGAGCCCTTATACGTCTAGGGTTGAGGGTTTCGGGCTTAGGGCTTAGGGCTTAGGGTTGAGGCTTTAGGGTTGAGGCTTTACGGTGCAGGGTTCAGGGTTTAGGGATGGCCATGAGTTGATACCTTCAGAGAGAATAAACACGAAAAACAAAAAATGCTAAATAGTAACGGTAATAGTAATAGCAATAGTAATCGTAATAGCAAAAGTCATAGTAGCAGAAATAGGAAGTGCTTGCTTGGCTGCGTGTATGTCTCCATATGTGCGTGTATTTGTTGAAAGGCGGTCATGTATTTCTTTACCTATTTGTATGGGCATGCAGGTAGGTCCAGGTAGGTATGTACGTACGTACGGATGTACGGATGCACGTCCGTATGTGCATAATGTGCATATACGAGCACACATACGTGTGTGCATCAATACGTGCAAACACATGCGTGTGTATCTCTGAATGCATATCTACATCTATATCAGACCTATACCTATATCTGGATCCATGTCTATGTCTACCCTTTATCTGTATCTGCATATCTGTAACTACATATTTGTTTTGTTATGTATCTACTCATCTATAAGTATGCGTGCTTATACGCATGATCATGTATGTATGTATGCATGTATGCATGTACATATGCGACATGTGTACATGTATACATGTGTACGTATGTATACGCACTTATACGCACACATGTATGCGTGTGCGTGTGTGTGTAAACGCCTGTATAGGTACATGTTCCTAAGCGTGTGTGTGTGTGTGTGTGTGTGTGCACCCGTCTACTGTATCAGGAGCACATGCACCGACCGTGTGACAAGAAGCTTATGGCTTTTTCTGTCTATCGGTGCATGTGTATTAACCGACGCATGCCTTTGGTTTCATAGCTGTGTTAGGAATACCGCCGTCGCGCCGGAAACACAGGTAGTTCTTCCTGTGTATGTGAGCTTGTACATGCATTTCTCAGTTCTCCATACATATCTGTATACATATATATATATATATGCATATACATATACACATTCATATATGTATACATATACATATACATATACATATACATATACATATACATATACATATACATATACATATACATATACATATACATATACATATACATATACATATACATACATATATATATATATATATATCCACATTTATATATATACACACATATATAAATGTGTATGCCACATTTATGTATATTGATACTTGTGTATACACATATGCATGTATGTGTGTATACATGTGTATATGTATCTAGAACTTATACATACATCAGCATATCTGTGCGGGCTGGTTTATTGATAGCTTGATCTGCGTACTGCTTTAGCCAGATGGCTGCTCATTTGGCGTAGCCACATATAAGCCTAGCACGGTTGTGACACAGGAACTTAAATCAAGCTTGATACAGTAGTTTGCTGCTCTTGTTTGATGCGGTTTGATGTGAGCATGCATGATTTCACACAGAACGTGATGTGAGCTTGCGTGGCAGCCCGTGTTACATTCTATTCGGGCATCATCGAAGACTGCAATTGCAGAGCCTTTTTCGATGGGCCCTAGGGATGTGACAATACAGTGTGTGTGTGTGTGTGCATATATCTATATATATATATATATATGTATACATATACATATATATATATAGATATATATAGATATATATATATATATAGATATATAAAGATATATATATATATATATATATATGTATATATATATATATACATATATATATATATATATATATATTTATTTATTTGTTATGTTATGCATTATGTTACCTTATATTACATTATAATCATATGTGATATATTATATATTACGTATTATACAATATACATTATATGGAGTATATTATATGTTATATTATACTTTATCTTATATATTATATATATTCAATACATCTATTATGTATCTTGAATATATATATATATATATATATATATATATATATATATATATAATGAGCTTGTGCAGGATGCCTGCATGCTGGTGTGCGCGTGCTAACATGCGCATGGATACACATCGCCCCCCTTTTTCCGGGGACCGCTGGCAGACTCCACATCCAAGTCGGCACGCGCCTGTCCGAGGCGCTCGGAGCGCCCCTTAAGGCCGGGCGCTGCCAAAATGGGCCATGGGGCTGTCAGCCAAGTATGCACCCTGAAGGGATCTATAAGGGCTCCTTTAAGGGATCCATAACGGCTCCTTTAAGGGATCTATAAGGGTTCCTGCTAGGCATGAGAGTTTAGGCATTGCGAGGATTCGGGTTAAGGGTTTCGGGCTCTTCCCAAAGGTTTCTATAAAGGCTCTGGTTGATAAGACTTCGGTGAAGGTTCCATAGTAGCTGATCGGGGCATAGATGATGGCGGCTTGAGCTATGGATTGAAACAAAGGGCAGCGAATGCCTGTGTAACTGGAGGAAAATTGTGTGAGTGCAGAGCCTTTCGAATAGCTCTGCTATTCTACTAGGCTCTGCAATGCCAAAGCATCAGCACGGATCAGGAAAAGCTGTTTCCCGTGCTGACCCGCTGACGACTGGGCGCCAGAATCGAACATATACCCTGGGTTTAGGGATTAGGGTTTAGGGTGACCTGGACGTGAAATAGATACGAAGGGTTTGGCACCTTCCAGCACTGCGATTCAAGCACCCACATTGCAACCGTTCATCGGAGGCATTGCGCCAAACAGACAGCCCTGTCTCGAAGATTGACTACGATCCTTGCTGTACTGCTGACCTCAACATTGGAGTCTCCCGGTTCCATGCCCTTAAGATTTTCCATAGAAGGGGCCCCCACTGTAATAGTGGCATTATAGGAACAAAATAGGGCCCTAATATAATCCTTATAGTCACTATTACAGGGTGGGGGCAGCTTCTAAGGTCTTACCGTTCTTCTAACCTCCCGGGGCTGCCCCATTCTGTATCATCATGGCTGCGCGATCGGGCTCAGGTTAGGCGCCCTTGGCCTCAGCGACCATGTGCGATCATGGGAGCAGCAGGGCAGCAGTACCCCAAACCCTGCCATCGTGCTACATAACCTACTTCTTTAAGGACTCGATACAGGGAAATCATAATAAGGAGCCCTCGCAAGGTAGGTTTTACAAGACTCCGGTAAGCAAGATGAGTAGCTGATTGCTCTTTGCTCTCAACTCAAGCTGACAGCAGTCAGAGATCATGAACCAGAAACTGCTGGCTCCAACAATACACTCTGCCAACAAGCCGCCATAGCAGCTGCCCAGGTAGCTTCGCACTTTCTCCTCAGCAACGATCAACTCGTTGGCAACTGTCCTAAACTACAAGAGCCCCTGATCCCCTTATATGTGAGGACTGCTCGGCTTCTATGCCACTGCCCTGACGAAGATTCGCTGTCCCAGAGAGCCCAATACCTTCAATTATAAGGGGATTCATATTATGATTTAAGCCATATTCCTCAATTAAGGGTATTGGGCTCTCTGGGGTATTGTTGCTATTTTCAATACTCGTATGAGTACCTCTGCTTACCGCTATTGCTATTGCTGCTCATCCTGACTGCCGTAGACCCCTAGAAATCCTATACAATAAACCCTCACCCCAAACAAACCTAAAACCCAGCAATCCTAGAAACCCCAGCACTAAACCCTTACGATGATAAAGCCTCTAGATTCCCTCAAAAGAACTTTGTATGGCCCTTATAATACGCTGCCTTAGCAGCCTTATTGCAATACCAACCCAAAGAAAAACTTAAAGGAAACCAAAACCTTAAACGATTGAAGTAACCCAAAACCTGAAGGAACCCTTAAACCCTTGTAGAAGCCTTAAACAAACCCTAAACCAGAAAGCCTGAACCTTAAACCCTTAAAGGAGCCGGTACCCCTAAACCCTCAACTCCTTGAAGGAACCACTGAAGGAGCCCTATTATAGAACCCTACAGCACCCCTAAAGGAAGCCTCTAGATTCTAGATCCCTTAAAGGAGCCCTTCAAGGAACCCTCCAGATCCCTTGAAGGAGCCCTTAAAGGAACCCTACAGATCCTTGGAGGAGCCTTAAAGGAACCCTCTCGATCCCTTTAAAAGATCCCCAAAAGGAACCCTCTAGATCCCTTAAAAACGAATCCGAAACTGGCGCCCGGGGCCCGGACCACGCTGCCGCTCGCTGGGAGGCGGGCGCCGCCTCCACGGCAGCCAGCGCTTTCTGAGCCTCCTGCGAAAGCTCGGGTTTAGGGTTTAGGGTCCAGGGCTTCTCGCCGAGCAGCGGCAGTATTTTCTGTGTAGGATGGCGCCCCAACACGCCCAGGGGTGTGGGGGGGCGGCATATCTACGTCTAGCCTTTCAATGCGATTCCACCACCAAACAATTACAAATGTGTTTCTGTTTCTTTTCCCACCCGCTGCCACGCGCTGTGAGCTTACACAGCCTACCACCCAAAATATTGGGCGGGGGGGGCCAGAGGGCCCAAGGACAGAAACGAAAATGTTCACCAAAGGCTTTCGTGGTCGGGCTTGGGGTATTTCATCTTGAGAATCGAGGGAATTCCCCTGTGAAGATATGGGCGCCACCCAAGTGGCCCAATGGCATGGCTCAGCCCTAGAGGCTGAATGGCTCCACCCATTGTCCATCCCAACAAACATTGTCAATCACTGCCGCCTAGGAAAAGGGTCGGTACGGACCAAGCAGGCCTGGGCGGGAATTTAGGGATTAGAGTTTAGGGGCTCCTTGAATTGAAAGTTCCTGTGAGGGTGCCGATAAGGGTGTCTTCAAGGACTAGAGATTAAGGTTGAGGGTTAAGGGGTGACTAGGGTTCCTTCATTGAAACTTCCTTTACGATTGTTCGCGAAGACTGAAGGGATTCAATTCAGGTGAAGCGTCTCCGGGTTTCGGGGCCTCTTGTGTCGATGCTGGAAGTGTACGGCTCTGGCCAATGTCCTTTTTAAGTGCGTGCAACGCTATACCCTAAGGCCCCATAGTAGTTCCTTTTTGGGGCTCATATATAGAATCCTATAA